ACACACTGACCCAGCTAACCAATCACAGCACACACTGGCCCAGCTAACCAATCACAGCACACACTGACCCAGCTGACCAATCACAGCACACACTGACCCAGCTAACAAATCACAGTGCATTTCGTATTTCAGAAGGCGGGCCTTCATTTGATACAGGAACTATTCGAGCTGTTCATGTCAGACTGGGGAGAGAGGTGTTGTAATAATGTAAAATATGTGAAAAATAACGTGTTTTTCGAACAACCTAGTATGAGAGCCTGTTCTAGTACTCTCCCAAAACAAAATCAAGACTTTGTAAAAGAGCATAATAGCACCCCTTTAAGATGTGTACACTCACACGTTTTCAAGGTGTGTTGAAAATGTTGTCAATTTTTGTCACGTTATAACATCATATTTTTACATTTTTGCACCATTAAGGAAAAAAAAGCGGCACAACATGGGACATTTGTTTTAAACTAAATTTTTAAAAGATTTTTCCTTCCTTTTCTTTATCGTGGACACCTTGCTTCTGACCGTTTAACAGTTGTGTATAAAGCAAAGTCAGTCATTCAACATCCACCATCCCCCACTCCCCCTTCCTCTCTACATCCTTCTCAACATAACGGCTGAAGTTTTGGGACCCAGTGCTGTAAGCATTACAGTTGGAGGGGCGTTATTCAGGCATCCTACTTCGTCATTAAACGACACTTTATGATACACAGGAGTCTGCCAACAGGCGGGCTGCAGACCTCCCTTCTGATTTTTCCATTAAAACGACCTTCCCGCATCGGTTTAAAGATGTGTGTGAAAGGTTATCCAGGAGGGTGCTCGCTGAGAGAATTACAGAACCGTATTACAATATCTATGAGGAGGAATGGAAAGAGGTGTTTGGACTCAACAAATGTCTCAACACAGGGCCCAAATCTCGGAGCGCTCAAACATGTTCCTCAGAGATCCAGAGGAGGGAAAATTCCTTATTCACTGTCCCACCCTCCACACTAGCTTATTCCTCTACTCATCCCCTTTTGATAACTCTTCTTTAGCCCAGGCAGTAATTGTTCCCCATTTGTGCCAATTAGTTGCTCAGCTTCTTTCTTTCCTTGTGGGATTTCTACCCCCCTGCAGAGGCCTCAAGGAGAAGAATTTGCTAGGGGGTTAAACCTAATTCTTACAGTGCAATCACAACTCCTCCAGACAGGGTCACCAAGACCCAGACCGGACGCATGGGGAGGAACAAACACACCAAGCTCTAGAGGAAAACTATTTCTGCTAGGGGACTTAATTGCCCGTGACTCCAACCTCAAGGCTTTCAAAGCAGAGTGTCTACTTAAGAGTGTGTGTGCTTAAATTCATTTAATCTTAATGACATCTAGCCGCTGTGTTGATAGCGAACATGTTCTACCGCATTTCCTGTTGAACAAGTTGCATGTAACCATTTAGTCTTCATTACCATCTCCAACTACTATAAATACATTCACCTCTGCATCCTGTAGGCCTGTCCAGCACAGAGGAAACATCTATTTGTGCATAAACAAGAGAAAAATATGTTTCTTCTGTAGCAAAAACCTCTTTTACACTCTCAAAGAGACTCAAAGAGATCTCATTTACACCTTAGACATTTCCAAAGCGAAGAAAATACTTGCATTTTAATGAAAGAATGCATTAAGAGTGTCTTTGTTTGCAAGCATAAAAGCTACTGGTATTTTAAGGCTGTTTAGCTCATTAAGTCACATGCCAGGGTCTAGTGCACATTTTACGCAGACTGGCGATTCAGCGCCTATTCCCACGGTAAGAGATCAAAAGACCTGAGAACCTGGAGATGGAGGAGAAATGAAAGGCATAACAGACTTATGGCAGAGAGAAAAGGTGGAGAATGGGGACAAAAGGCAGCAGAGAAAAAGAGCACAGGCGGCGGCGGATGGGATCTGGCCACCGTCGCATTCCGACACGTCACATTCCTGCTCACATCTGGCTGCAATACACACAATCCCTGTTACCATTCACTCCCTGAAGTCTCACTTTCTTTTTACATTCACACAAACAGGCAATCTTGAGAGCCGACCAGGTCACCTCTCACTTCCATCAATGTTCCCTGCAAGCCATCACCTCTGATTCTATTCCCTTTCCTCCGCAAAAGGGATGTAAAAAGATGTTACTTCAGTACCAAGATTCTATTAAAACAAATGTAATAAATGCCTAATAAACCAAACTAATATGCCTAAAAGTACTGTCTAGTATTTTTATTATTATTAAACTGACAAGGAAAAGAAAAATGCCTTACACCACAGCGAAACGAATATGCTATTGAAGGCACTCATATTCAAAGTATTAAAAAAGTAAAAATGACATCCTCGACATATACAGCGCAACTGTGCTCACAGTGACCCGAGTTCAAGTCCCGTCTCGAGGTCCTATGCCGACCCCACTGCCCTCTCTCTACCCAATGCTTTCCTGTCATCTCTCCACTGTCCTGTCTGAATAATAAAGGAATAAAAAGTCCGTAAATATAACTTTTAAAAATGCTGTATTTTTTTTTCTTGTTAATAATGTTGTTTAATAATGATAATTATTGACAGAACAACAAATTATTATTATTTTAATAATATCATTAATATTAAACACTATTAAAAAAGAAAAAATAGCATTTTTAAAAATATTTTTTAGAAGTTTCCTTTTTATCTTTTATTGTTAATAAAGTTGCTTAATTATTATTATCGACAATAAAAACAATGATTATTTTATTAATAATTCATATTAAACAAGAAATTAACAAAACAAATGTAAAAAAAAAACACTGCATTACTACAGTTTTGCAAATATAAGTAAACATGCTGTTCCGAATGTTGTTTAATATCAATATTATTAATAAATACTTTTGATAGAATAACAATTATTATTATTATTATTAATTAAAGGGGTGCTATTATGCTCTTTTACAAAGTCTTGATTTTGTTTTTGGGGTATACTAGAGCAGGCTCTCTTACAAAGTTGTTCGAAAAAAAAACACATTATTTTTCACATATTTTACATTATTACAACACCTCTCTCCCCAGTCTGACATGAACGGCTCGAATAGTTCCTGTATCAAATGAAGGCCGCCTTCTGAAACACGAAATGTGCTGTGATTGGTTAGCTGGGCCAGTGTGTGCTGTGATTGGCAGCACTCGTCAAGTCAAGTCAAGTCAAGTTTATTTGTACAGCGCTTTTCACGATACAAATCATTGCAAAGCAACTTTACAGCAAATTAAGTTTCTACAATATTTAGTAGTAGCTTATCAATGGTGACTGTCAGTTAATGTACATATGGCAGAAATGTACGGAAAAATCTATTTAAGACGTAATAAAACAGGCGATGAACACTATTAACAGCAATTATTATATGATGCAATCAAACTTATAGCAAAATGTATCTGCCGCCTGGTCGGAAAATGTCATGCCCCTTACCACAGCCGCCTGCGAACTTCAGTGTAAATATTGCGTCAAAATCAAATAAATTTGATGATTGTAACCACAACTAAGTTCATCAGCCTTGGGAAAGTTAGTGTGTCTCTGACATAGTGATGATAACACTCGCTGTCTTCTCTAGCGCCACTCAACCAGGTCTCGTCCCATTCGTCGATATTTGTGATATCACAAATCCCGGAAAATATGCGTTGTAGTCCAAACGAGTCGTTCGTTGTAGTTTTTGAAAAGCGATTTCTGTTACAAAAAAGCTCCCTTTGAAGTGGACTTTGAGCTTTGTAACTTTGCAGATCTTTTTTTATTCTCAAACAGCAACATTACAGACTAACTAAAATTGAAAAAGTGAAAAAGCATAATAGCACCCCTTTTAAACAACATCAATAGCAATAAAAAGAAAACACTGCATTTTTATTTATTTAATATATAAAAGTAGTATTTCAATAGCATATTAATTTTTGCTGTGATTAATAAAGAATGCCTCAACAGAGAATCGTGAAAATTTCACTGGCATTGCTATTGACTATTTAAATTTTTGCATTTTGACAACACTTGTCCACACAAATACTCACATTATCATCAGATGTTGTTACACATCATTTAAGGGTATGCTTCAAACAACCCTGAACATCATAACACACCCCAGCTCTCGCAGAACTTGCCAGAAAACCGAATGTGTTGAGTCCATTTAAAACCGCCAGGCTGCGCTGCCAGAGACACAGAGCTTTGGTAAAGCTGGATGGCCACACGCGAGTCAACATGGGTCTCATTTAGAAATAGCTGTGGCTCAGAGTGGATGGGTGACAAATCATGTGTGAGTGAGGGAGATGTGCCATCAGCACTTCATTTATCCTTCCTTGTCTGTCCAGTCATTGACTATCAATCCAAACACCATCTCACCATTTCATCTCAGTGGCAACAGCCCGACACAGTCCTGGCTCGATTCTTACTCTTTCAGCTACCCAGGGGGATGTTTTTCCTTCAAATGTACCCTTGATGAACTCTATCCGGATGCGTGTGACCAGGCCTTTAGTTTGTCTCACTTTTCCTCATTTGACACACTTTTTAATGGCATTACAGCATGAAGAGAAGTGAGCACATAAAACATGCATTATAAACCAGGCGAGAGAGTGTGTGTGATAGCGTCTGTGGGGTTTTCCCCTCCTGAATGAGTCAGCAGTGTCGATGCATGTTCCCATGCACCCCTCTGCCCTACACTGGGGAAACCTGATCCCTCTCTCTCAGCCTGATATTCACTGCCACATGCACTGCAGAGAGGAACCCAGGCCTCTGCATGTGTGTGTGTGGTCTGTCTGCAAGCATGAGAGTGTGTGTGTGTGTGTGTATGGCAGATGACTGTGGGATGTTGCGGGACAGATGGAGAAATGGATGTATAGACCGTGTGTCTGGCAGTCGGGGGTGTCTGTCAAACTAACTGTAGCAGTGTACGGAAGGGCAGCATGAGTGGATCAATATCGCAACTCATTTTAATGCAAATGACAAGCCAAACATTCGGATTCGGTAGATTTGCATGCGTGAATGTGTGTAAGAGCTGTACTGACGGTCAAAGTGACGGTGTCTCTGGGTGAAGGTGTTCTGCAGGTTGGAGCTGAGCTGATGAACGGGAGCTTTCACATCCGTGCGGCTCTGCTGACTCAGTTTCTCCTCCATCTCCAGAGTACAGCAGGAGAAACCTTGAGGACACACCTTCAGATGATTTCCTGAAAAAGCCAAACAGAGAGAAGTGTAAGAAATGTAAACAGTATAACAAAACATTGTTTTTCTTTTCGCCATAATACAATTTTAATAACAATAATATACTATTAATATTTTTATTATTAAATTATGTATTTATTTTTTTATGTTTTATTGTGTTTAAATGTTTTATTATTATAGCATAGATATAAACCAACTTTTCACTGCTATGCTATGTAATTTGTAAATGAAAAAGCATTTCTAGTAGTGGTCTCAGACTTTTGGACCCCACCACTTTGACAACAAAGCAGTTTTACAATGCCAATAAAGCTCTTCAATCTGAGATGTTACAGAGCAAGTCCTTTTATTTACCCATTCTTCATCAAATGAATTATGTCTAGACGTTTTGAGAACTGAAAGCTGAAAACCTAACGTCAAACTCATATCCAATACAAATCAAAACAGAACTGAACACAATGTGCTTACAGTATAAAGTGAGCTGACAAGCCACAGTCATCCTAGATAAAAAGCAAAAACGGAATATTCAAGACCCTGTGGATGCACGCATGTTTCAGTAGTTCTAAGGGAACCTGGGCTTTCTTCGTGATTCGCCCCATCAAAAAACAAGTCTGCGCTGCGGTCGTCGAGTAAACGGCACAGATGGACAGCGAGCGGCTGGATTAAACAAGGCGTCACATTAACATGGTGAGTGTGAGCAGGGCGGACTGTGAAGTCGCAGCTGCAATAATGTTTTGTTTTTCTTTATTTTTTTAATGCGGTTGTTGGAATTCAAGGGAACACAAGGGTCCTTTCAGTGGATTGGACTCCGACCGGTGGTTTGGCTACCCATGCTGCTGTTCAGCGAGACTGGCCACTCTGGATAACACACTGCACACCGATGAGAGATCCCCACTTTCAGGCCATTTCTCAATGTGGATCTACATTTTGGCACCATGCATTTCATATTTATTAATTGAAATTTAGATGATTTTGAAGGCCACTGTGTTCCTGTGAGGGATGATCGGGGCACAAGAACAATCTGAAATGATAATCAATCATATTAGCATGGCTCATGAATATTAATTAGGTGACAATGCTCACCCAATGGTCGTAAATAATTGATTGAAAAACAGATTAGAACAATTCAATTGATTGATGAATCTAATGAATGAAAGCACTGATGCAAACAGCATAACGGTATTTTTATTTTACTTATTTTCTTGCAATTTTTTGGCCAGTAAAGTGGCAGAATATCACCTAAATTTTTGAAAAGCAGCTATATATAATTGGTCGCTTCACCCCTGGGTTGACACACTACTCTGTCTGTAACTGGTGCAGTGCATTCTGTCATGTGCACTACGATATCTGTGACACGACTCGTATCGGAGCATCTGCTGAACACATCGGCATGGGTGAATAGCGAGGAGCTGTTGAGAGCTTACAAATAATCACCATCTCACAAAATATCCAAGAGGAATTGTCACTTGACCACTGCCAGGGCTTGTTTTACACATGCGAAGCAGGAAGGAGAGGCAGTGTGTGCTAATGTGAGGGATGGGACATCTTGTGCATGGCAATGATCTGCTTTTTAACAGATATCAGTGGTGTGTCAAACACCTTAATCAATCCTGCATTGAAGCAGATTTGCAAAAAATATATAAAATATATAAAAAGAAGTTACGGCTTTGTACATAAGGAGTCTCAAGAAGTTAGCTTGTAAAGTTGAAAAAGAGCAGCACCTTCACCCTGCCATGGCCCCAGACCAGCTGTACCCCTCAACTCCACTGGGACACCGTCCAAATCACTCACTCACTTTCACACACTTGGCATCAGGTACATACAAGACCTGTACATCATATCTCAGCCCAACAGACAGCTCTTTGTATAAGGGCATTTGGAGAGAGAGAACCTAACCTGAAAAAGCAAAGCAAATATTCTAGTAAAAACACAGAAAATGGAACCAAATTTAAAGGTTTTGCAAATTACTGAACAGGGAAAACAATTTTGAACCTTTGGCCATTTCAATACAGACCATTAACTAATCAAAACATTCAATGCAGGGGAAAACGTGATTTTAGTAACGATTTTTAAGCTACACATAAAAATGCGCCCTTCTTGAATTTATATGTACTCCAAAACGTAAAAGTTGTAATTTCTGCACTAAATGCTATTGGCTGATGCCAAAGTTGACACATCAGCCTGCTAAAACAAACCATATTTCACATCTTCCTCTATAGGTTTATAATCAATACATCCATCTTTTAAGAGTCCAAGTCAATATGGCTGCATGCACAAGCTAATCTTGGCAGACACATGCAAAAGGGTGGCCTCTGTGATTTCATGTTGCTTTAACGCAAGGCCAAACTTTTTGACAGCAATAAGATCCATTTCCATGTGATTCTTAGTAGTAAACCACCTGACTATAAATCTGAAAAAGAGATTTGTTATTACGGTCTTTAATAAGTCACTTCCTATTGCTATTCTGGAGGCCCAAGAACATTCTGTTTTGCTGATGGATGAGTGGATGGAAATTGCCCTGTGGACAAAACAAAGATTAGCCCTGATGCCCCCCTTTCCTCTCTCTGCTTCTTCCCCGGCCACGATGTGCCCCTGGCCCCAGACAGACTTCAGCCCCCATAACCCCACGCAGCTAGCCAGCAGGCTGAACCACAGAGGTCGAAGGTTAACAGCCACTCCTCTGAGACAGGTCATGCACTATGACCCTGCTAGGCGCTGACCAGCAGACCCACCACCCACACATATTACAGACACACACACACACACTCAATCACATGCCGGACCCTCTGAGTCAGAAGTCATAAATTCTCTGGGGGATTATTTCAGGCAGGCCGTCACTATAAATTGCTCTGGCCACCACATCAACATGCTGTTGCCAAAAGAAACAGAGTAATGGGCTTCCCTGTTGTCTGCCTAATAAGACACATGCGGCAACTTCCACATGCCTGCACGAGTGTCATCAAAACCATCGCTTCTGTGTACAACCATCATTTCAGGTGGTTATGAGCCATGGAGAATCATCATTTGGCTTCTTCCATGAAAAACAAACGCACATTTCTTAGAAAGCCATTTTCAGCTACCCTTTTCCTCAACAGAGTAGATTGAAAGACACTCTCGTCAAAATCACAGAGAAACCAAGTATGTATTTCCACATAACACAACACTGTTAATGATTGCCATTCAAAGTATAACTGACAGAAATGATGCCTTTAAATATTTACATAATTAACTGTGATTGGTCTTCTTTCATGCATTTATTTGCATACTGAATTGTATTGGACAAACAACCTTAGGTAGATAAGTCATTTTTAATTTCCATGAATAAAAACAAGGCTGAGGAATAGAAGTACACTTCAAAGGGCTGTAATATTTAGCTGACGCAACAATGGAAAATCCTGGTGGAAAAAAACCCCTCTGGAAAATGTGTTGTGGAAAATTATAAGTGACATAGGAACCTAAGACAGTTAAACAGACCGGTTATCTGGTCCTTTCAGCTTTTTTAGGAGAAAAAAAAAAACAAGATGCCTACCCCAGTGTTATTTTACTATTATTAATATACTATTATATTACTTTTCATTGTAACTTTAGCTTAGAACTAAAACTAGAAATCTTGCCTTGGAAACTTACTGAAAATAAGTTTAAGTTTTTCCATCTAATATTTATATTTTATTTCTAACACCAAAAATGATTTTAGTAGTTTCAGTTAACAATAACAACACTGGCCTACACTCACTAAGTTAAAAAAATTATTCAGTATGCAAATAAATGCAAGAAAAACAACTAATCACAAATAAGCATGCAAACATTACAAAGGTGTCATCATTGTCCATAATATTTTGAATTAAGAGGTTTAATCTCATTTTACTGTAGAAAATAAATTGTTTGTTTAAACTTTATAAGGCGCAAAAAAGACAATTCCTCACAGTGACGGGAGACATTCAAAATGAAAGTGACAACATGATTCACACACTCCTGTGAGAGTTGACTACAAAACAACATGGCCGACATCCCAACACCAGAGCCATCTTTACACAAGCACAAGCTTCAGTAACAAGCTACTTTTGGACAAGAAGCTTTTTCTCTGTTATGGCCTGGGGTTCGAGGCGGCCCGACCTAACTAAATCAGATGTGTTCTTTTGGCTAGTTTTCATAAGAGATAACAACAACTTGCAGATGGTAATAAAACATCAAACCTTGAGGGGAAATGCTCTAAATGAGTATTGCTTGAAACCTTTGTGGAATGAGCATTTAATGAGTACACTCCCTCCTTTTGGCAGAGGATGCTCATGCATTGCTATTAGCTTCGAGATGAGAGCGGTTTTAATGTGATAAAAGGAAGAGCTAGATATTTGATTTCTAAATCATAGCCTTTCTATTATATGGTTGTCTCCTCCAGAATGTGCCTTGCATGTTCAGACATGTCCTTGCTGATGCACTCTCCTGCCTTCACACCATCTGCATGAAGACAGATCTCAGCACTCCTCTCTCTTTGTGTGGCCTGAGGCTATCTTTGGACTGTCCATCCTTCATTTACAGACTCATGAATACAGGGTGGAGGAAGGAGAGCTTTCACAAGGTCTCCTAACAATCGTCCTTCCCTGAATTCTGTCTAACAGCCTGAATGGACAAGGGCCTTGATATCAACAAGTATGGCATCATGCAACAGCTCTAAAGCATTTATGAAGCACACAAAACATTCACTTACAAGTTACAATGCATTACAAAAACAACAAGAGTCAGAAAACACCGTTTTATATTTCTAGAGGCACTCTTGGTAATCACTAGAGCTGGGTGATATTGAGTTTCCCCAAAATATATTTGAGCAATATAAAATTAAAGCAAGATTATGAGTATCATGATGCCTTATGTGCTTTTATTTCATCATTACGTTTCCAAAAGTGCATTTCATTGCACAAGTCTGATGTAACGAAATACGGTTTAGGAATAGACAATCTTTTCCTTGTGTCACAACCTACAAACAAAATGGTTTGATAATGTCTTTTGATGTCAATTTTAAAAGCCAGAATGAGCTGGGAAATTTAAACGGGCCATTTCAATGAATTGTTCCAATACTCTGACTCAACTATTTGTTTGCATTAAACTCAAATGTTTTTCACAGAAGTGCCTGAGAGGCACTTTTTAAATTAAACCATTTTAGTGAAAAAAAAGATAAAACTGATACCGGTGGATAAATATTGTTACATTTAAAAATGATTGCAAATTTATTCTTAGAAATTGTAAATAAAAACGTTTTCCAGTATTTAACTAAAAATGAAACATTTTGAATTTACTTTGATGAAAAAAAAAACCCAGAACAAATACAGAGACCGAACTAGACCTTTCTAAATACTTTGGTTCACTCAACGAGTATGAGAGGCCACAACTGGCATCTTGTTCATGAGGAAACAGCTGGCGCTCTCTAATAATGGAGTTGTAGAGAAGGTAAAGATACAACTCCTCAGTTTTTCATTGTGCAGTTCCCACCGCAATGGGTGCGTATTCAAATGGGAAAACTGTAACAGGAACCCATTATTACAGAGCAACTGCTCATATGGCAGTTATAAAGAGGAGAATTACTTTCTCTTTCTCTCCAAATCCAATCCAGCATCTCTCAAACACTTCCATGACAAGTTTACAACACTATTGCCAGCACAATGATGCCTTTCAGAGACTCACAATAAATGTAGGACGGCTAAATGGAAATGACAGCAGAGTTGGCCGGTGTGTACGATCACTAAACAAAATGGTGGATGATGTCAAGGGGGTCATTTTATGGCACTTGGAGTGAAGCACTGAGAAAAACCGGCCTGGTAAGGAGGCACTTAAAGCTTACATGTAGGCCTGTAAGCAGTCATCAGATTTAATGAGCTATTATTCGCTCAATGTTAGTCTAAATGACTACTCTTTTCCCTTCTTAAACAACATATTCTACCTCTTTTGCATTTTATTTTTGTATTTTAGTGAACTTATCCCACTAGTCAAGGTTTCTTATTTCCGGGCACCATAAACAATAATTTTTCACTTTTTAATGACTACTTTTGCTTTCACTAACCCTTAAAAATGATACAGGCAGTTTTTGCTGTTGTACCTACAATTAAAGCTGAAGTGTATGATTATTATTGGATGTTAAAATAAAATACTCGAATGTAGCTATAATGCTTCAACTAAAAGCAAAAAATGTATAGGCTGATTTTCTGGAAAAGATTCCCTCGAACACTGAGGAATTATCAAACCATTGCTATGTTTGTTGGAGTTTTAAGATCAGGCTCAGTCGATGCCATGCATTTGGGGAAGGACCATTTGAGAAACCTGTAAATAGTCAATTCCAATATGTAAATGGAATCGGTTATGATTAGTTAATATGCATAAATTGGAGCAGGGGATCCCAAACATTAGGTTAATATTTCAATAATTTGCATGTTCACAGTTCTCTGATGCTAACAATAATAAGTGTATTTTTATTATTGTCATCTATTAATATTGGTAGCCCCATTTATTTTTATTTTCATCAGTGCACGAACCCCCTGCAGTTCCCTCATGAAACCTCAGGGGTTTGCGAATCCCCATTTGGGAAGCCTTGCATAAACAAATGCATAAATGTGAGCTGCCATATGGCAATGCACTAATAGTTCTCACATCATAACCATGATGCATTTAGAATGACCCACTCTTTCCACTTATTTCCCAAAAATTAGCTTGATGAACTTTAGAACTTGTCTACATAGGAGATCAATCTCTGATTCAAAATAGCAAAGAAAGTCCTATTTCCCTGAATATGCACTCATGTGTGTTCTGTTGATGCTGTTAATGGCATGAACAGGCCTGATCACAGAGGTAATGTGAAGGAGGCAATTCAAAAAGCTCAGAGACTGTGCTCAAGGACACATTCCTCAAGTCTAACACTATGAAAACATTAGCAAAAAACTCACTTCACAGGTCTGTTGACCTACAATTAGAGCAATGTTTTTCTAATCCAGCCCCCCTTTCCATTCCTGATACATCCTCCTCCTGCTCCACGGAGAGCACCAACTATTCCCTGATCTTCTGAGGCCACATTCACAGGATACACTACTGATCCAAAGCTGGGCATTTTCTATAGTAGGTTGTTTACTTGCTCCATCTGGTTGATCCGTCCGCAGAGGTCACGTATCAGACCTTGTTAGGAATGAATTAATCTGGAGTTACGAGCGATATCCTCTGATAGACACATCTCTCTGCAGCCCCATGGGGCAAGTGTCATATTAATGAGGAACTGAGTTAACGAGCAGGATATCCCACGCCAAGAGGCCCATCTGACACTTGTGCGGGACAGGAAAACCTGTTACAATACTGTACAGTCCAGTCAAGCGGGGACACACGGCTCATTCTGCAAACTATGGCCCTTGTGTCCGGTAAAGCCGAAATAAAAGAATCAACACACAGAGTGATTAGACAAAACAAAACCACCGTCAAATCACCGTTTGGCTAAAATATTCTATTTAAATTCATGACAGGACAACAAGTTTAGACTAGGGAGACTTTCCCTCACATTAAAATTGCTAATGGTTAATAACGGTTTAACAGAGATAGTTGTGCAGTCAAGAACTTGACAAATGTTCAACAGGGCAAGTTCATACAAAACAATTTGACAAAAGTCAAATTTTATATTAATGCATAATGGAAAATGCATATTTTAAGTAATGATTATTTAATTTTTTAATGATTTTACCTTCATTTTAAATGGTCTAGCAGTGTGACAATACATTTTTAAAGTTGGCATGATCTGTTTTCTAAAAGCATGTTAATGATCTTATTGTGAATGACTGATCCATGCACTTGTTTAAATTTTCTCTTTTTTGACCCAGTGACATATGCTGGACTTCTCCAATTATTTAGTGTGCTTTAACCCTCCCCTTTATAGCAATGGACTTTAAACTCACATTTATCTGATCTGCCGTCATCTAATCAACAACCGATAGACAGAACAAAAGGTCTTCTATTTTTGTTACATTGCAACTTTAAAAATATTAATATTCCTTACAGTCTCTCAGTTAATATAAGGTCATAAAAACAGCATTAGATTTATATTTAAAAAACAGTTTAAGATGGACTACTTCATGTTGCATTGAAGGATGTGACAACATACCAAAAAACTATTTCATGTCAACTACCCTTGTTTCAGTAGGAACATCTTAGAACAAGAGTTACAGTCAGTGCTACCTACATCTGGTTGCACTCTGAATTCGCATAAATCACATCCAAAAAAAGATTTAGGCCCACAGAAAGGTTTAAATCCACTTCTTGCTGAGCTTTTCATTCAAATCACATAAAACAATAACTCAAATTTGGCTTTGAAATGGTTCAGAGATTAGGAATTTCATCTGAGGAGAATTAGAGTTGAAGACACATGGCAGTCTGCCACAAGGCCAAGAAAAGCATGCGAAATGATGCTTCCTTAAATTAATCAGGGATTAAAGGCTATCACACACAGCTGTCAAAACACCAAACCACCAACACTTTCTTTTCAGATGGCACATGGGATAATGAAGAATAAATAGATGTGCAAAAAACAAAGCAATATGGTTGTTTTAATCAAAAGTCAAGGTCCCGATCGTATACTACTGAGCCATAACGCTTGACTCTTAATAACAGGCTTATGAGTCTAGACGGTTGTTTGATCATTAACCAGGGTAAGAGCACAGCAATTAAACCATCTCCTGGTCTTCTGTGGTGCACTTTGGCACTAAGCAACATCAAGACTACACAAAACACAAACCAGATGTAAAGTATGATGCCGGGCAGGCAGGGAGCCTTAATACCATGTAAATCCTCAAAAACTCTGATACGGTGCAGTGAGACACACATATGTTAGATTGATGTACACACTTGAGCGATCACCCACAAGCTCTCATCCTTTTGTACCAGTCAATCTCTGATTGCTAAACCAGAGCAGGGCCTCTGGCCAATTAAAACTCCCCACTGGTAAGCATTCCAAAAGGCTGCCATCCATGAACATTTACCCAGAAGTCCCTGGGGAGATTCCACAACATCACCCCGGCCTCTCACTCCATGTCTGTCTCCCTCTCCTGCCCCAGCGTGCCATCTCCGGCTTTGCCTCTGCTCACAAAAGCTCCCTGCCTACACCACTTCCCAGGTCACCTCATTGTGAATCATTTAACTTGGAATGGCTCTTTCACAGACACATTCAAATTCAGGACACTGCATGTTTGGAGTTTAACAGAGGAATCAGCGGATCTCTGTTGTTCATTACTGATAAAGTCCTTTCATGAAAGCTGGAGAATGACGATTTTAATTCAAACTTCATGGAAGTCAGTTAATGGCTGAGCAGGGTCAGATCTCATGGGCAAAACTAGACAAGCACAACATGGTGATAAGAAGATTAAGTGCTGAAACAAAGATACAAAATTTAAGTGTAAAAAATATATATTTTTTAAAAGTATCATAGGCTTTGAGTTAGGGCTTCACTCGACTAAAGATTTTTCTGGTGGACTAGTAGTTGTTAATTTAAAAAAAATTGTCACACGTTTATATTAATAAACCATATGATTCATAATGATGAGCCTTTAATTGCCTATAGCCTAAAGCTTGCCACAGCGCACCGCAGAAGTAAAGATTATGAATGTGCCAGGGAAAAAACAGCAAGAAGACTGCCTTATAATTATAATAATTCTGTATTTTTGGCTGCAGTGATGAAGTCGACAACACTGACTCGTCATCTCCACTGCATGTTTCATAAGGATTACATAATATCTGAAAATATTTGTTTTCCATTTGAAATGGATCATTTAAAAGTAGACATTTCCCTTTCTATTGATATATTTTTCATGTCTGTGAGGCAAGCATGGAGTAAATATAAGTAAACCTTTTACAAATTCGAAAGATGTATTACTCTGTATGAGCAAAAATTAGTATTTTAAAGCTGCAGTCCGTAAGTTTTGCCTCTGTCGCCATCTCTGTTTGAAAACCTGCAGTTGCAGCTGTGTGTGGAATTATCTTCCTTGCGTGGGTTGTGCGGCGGCACGGCTCCAGCGCGGATTAATCTAATGTTCTGAAGAGTATGTGTGGCAGTCAGTCACCGCACCAGTGTGGATATTGTACTTTGCACTCACAGATTCTAGCCTACGTCTTGGAATATATGACCCAAATAAGCATTTTCACCGGATACTGTCATCTGAACAAGTAACAAGTCTGCCACTTTTGTTCTGACCAACTGAGGAAAAAAGCATTACAATAAATCGCACTACCAATGGTGATTTAATCTAAATTAGCAAATTATTATTATTGTTATACTTTATTCTCAAATTGTTAATGTTAACAACATCAGCATTGCGTGACTGAGTACAGTGTGTATAAGTGAGTAGATTTCAATTTCTGTACAGTCTAATCTGTAATTGTCATACCAGAAAACATTATTATAAGCTTACCGTTGTGAATCGGGCAAAAGTAAGGCGATAGTTTCGAACACTGGCTGGTTATGTACTTGCTCAAATATTGATTTTGGATCATTTTTAACCAAAAAATGTACAGACTGCAGCTTTAAGTTAAATGCAAATGATCGCACCGGTACCTTTAAGTTAACTGTTATGCAGTGAGTGTGCTACATTTCAGCTTCTACACTCTGCACTAGTGCTGGGCGGTATACTTGTTCCTACCGAATACCGGTTTTTATTTTTGTTATGATATGAATTTTGAAAATACCGCACAAGACGAAAACCGCTGCTGAGCAAAAAGAACATAAAGGCTCGTCTCAGTTTTTCCAGAAAACATCTTGATGATCCCCAAGCCTTCTAGGAAAATACTCTGTGGACTGACAAGACAAAAGTTGAACTTTTTGGAAGGTGTGTGTCCCATTACGTCTGGTGTAAAAGTAACACTACATTTCAGAAAAAGAACATCATACCAACAGTAAAATATGGTGGTGGTAGTGTGATGGTCTGGGGCTGTTTTGCTGCTTCAGGACCTGGAAGACTTGCTGTGATAAATGGAACCATGAATTCTGCTGTTTACCAAAAAATTCTGAAGGAGAATCCATCTGTTCGTGACCTCAAGCTGAAGCAAACTTGGGTTCTACAGCAGGACAATCATCCAAAACACACCGGCAAGTCCACCTCTGAATGGCTGAAGAAAAACAAAATGAAGACTTTGGAGTGTCCTAGTCAAAGTCCTGACCTGAATCCTATTGAGATGCGGTGGCATGACCTTAAAAAGTCAGTTCATGCTCGAAAACCCTCCAATGTGGCTGAATTACAACAATTCTGCATAGATGAGTGGACCAAAATTCCTCCACAGCGCTGTAACAGACTCATTGCAAGTTATCGCAAACGCTTGATTGCAGTTGTTGCTGTTAAGTGTGGCCCAACCAGTTATTAGGTTTAGGGGGCAAACACTTCTTCACACAGGGTCATGTAGTTTTGGATTTTGTTTTCCCTTAATAATAAAAACCTTCATTTAAAAACGGCATGTTGTGTTCACTTGTGTTATCTTTTACTAATATTTAAATTAGTTTGATGATCTGAAACATTCAAGTGTGACAAACATGCAAAAAAATAAGAAATCAGGAAGGGGGCCAACACTTTTTCACACCACTGTATGTCACTTAAACAACGTTCAGAGCGCGACACTGTTTGAAAGGGGTGTTGCACTGTGGTGAGGGAACAGCTGTATGTGTTACTAAGCGTGAAAGTTCTGAAACTGAAGCTGTAGAAGTAATAGAACGTGATGACGCAGAAGAACTCATCCACAATATCCACATTGACCACCACTAATATCCACCGCCCCCTGCCATCAGCTCCTGCGTCTCACACACTCACGAGCACAACTTTAGCACTAGATTTAGCAACCTTCAGACCCTTTTAGCTGATTTTTTCCATAGAATATTCATACTGGCAAACCTAGTAACTTTTTTGTATAAACCTTAGTTATGGTTTAGTTGGAAGAGTTCGCCAGTGCTGTCCCGCGAACGAGAGGTCTGACTTTCCCGGAGAAGCGTCACCTCTCTCGGCGTCTGTTCTATGCAGTGAGCAGCAGAGAAGCAGTGCATTCAGTTAGCCGCACCGCAGCGGACTAGTCAATAAATGAGTGCAAAACAGCGTTTCCTAGCACCTGTCGCTTACAGATTGTTTGGAATTATAAATATGAGCGTAGTTCGTCTGTTAATATCACATGCACTTTTTGTTTGTTGCTTTTTTTTAGTCACTCAGACGCAGGCAGTGCGCTGCATGAGACAAAAAAGTAATATAGCCAAAACAACTGCATAGCCGCTCTTTAGTGTAGATGCATGTTGATTTTATCAGACGATGCCGCGATTATAAATGAGAGTGACCCCTGGTTAACGTATTAAAAGGGGTCGTGTTTAGTCACAATTTAGTGTGGTATTTTTATTTTTTGCAATATTCACTCATCATGACAGTAAAATAGGGCATTCTAAGTTAATATACTGCAGTATTTCCTCTCTCAATCAGTAGAAAATATGGTTAACACCCGGTCATGCATGAAAAAAAATTACCGTCTTGTACAGTGAAACCGGTATAATTTTGAAAAATACCGTGATATAAATTTTTGGTCATACCGCCCAGCACTACTCTGCACAAACACTTATATTATAGTGCACATTTTTCTAGGTTAATGTTAAAGCGAGCTGTCATGTAATGTTGCAGCTACTTACATGTTTCAGATGATAAGCCACATTTGAGGTTGATGAACGAAACAAACGTTTGCATGTCCTGACTGATGTACTGTAATTACCAAATAGACCAGCTGTTAGTGATCTGTCTGTCACGGACTATGTGACTTCATCACTTCATGTGGAATTTTATTTTCTGCGACTAAGCAACTAATCAAATCTTGATCGACTAAGCCTCTTTTCGTCGACTAACGGTTAACTGACTATTAGGGGGCAGCCCTACTTTGAGTATTTAAGAGATAAGAATAGATAAACTAATTAGAAATGTGAGGTTCATATGACCATTTGACTACAACTAACTGGCTCAAATATATAAATCAAATACAATAATATTATTGGCTGACACTAATGACTTGTGATTTCATTTGGTGCATTTTTGTTGAAAAACAGGCAACATTATAACATTAGCCATCATGTTGTTGACAATATAATTGATTCATTTACTTACGGAGCCGAGCACGGGACGTGGTGAAGGAGTGGACACACCGGCTCCACGAAATGGAGCAATGTTCAGTTGGAAGCAATTACACGCCCCCAACCAATACCTCCAGCCAGAGATACAATAAAAGACAAATTACAATGAGCCTGTCCATAAGCAGAGACACTGACAGCCTGGAATGCACCGTTTATTTACCCATGAAGAAAACGGGGGCAAAAGGTACAGGCTAGGAAGAGACGAGAAGGAAGAGGGGGTTGAAAAAGAGGGGAGAAAAAACACATGAAAAGCTGATGACGCAGCTCACTCTGATGCTACAACGAAGGAATCCTCAATCCCTCTTCAAAAATGAACATCTGTGCACATGCTTGCATGAGGACACACAGATGGATGACAAAGGAGAGGTTAGCAGAGGGTGGGAAGATCTAATGTGAGAAACTGCAGGTCTGGCTGAGCAGTGACAATACATACATCACCTAAAATAATCAGTCAAATGGTAAAAAACGCTCTGGGGGATTGCAGGAAACTCACTTCTCCCCTTAAACAGCAACAATCCCAAACCAAAGCTCTGCAGTAACGTGACAGTTATGCTAAGAAGTAAACATAGGATGATGCATGTGGAGGAAGTTTTATTTTTAACTGAAATATTATTATTGGTATTATTTGCTTCACTGTACTAAAGAGTGGTCTTTAGATTTTCTCTTAGTGCTTCAGTTTGCAATAAGCTGAGAGATAAAAGGAAATCTATTTAAAGGAGACATATTATGCCCCTTTTTACAATATGTAATATAAGTCTCTGGTGTCCCCAGAATGTGTCTGTGAAGTTTCAGCTCAAAATACCCCACAGATCATTTATTACATCATTTTGAAAATGCCTATTTTGAGTGGAAGCAGAAACACGCTGTTTTTCGTGCCTTTCTCTTTAAATGCAAATGAGCTGCTGCTCCCTGCCCCCTTTTCCAGAATAGAGCTGCGCCATTACAGCTCGGACCTGCTAAAAAACATCTGTTCGGTTTTGGTTCTGATTATCATGTTTACCGCGCTGAAATCATGCGTTTTAAACCATATTAGTTTAAACTTCAGATACACGATTTTCTGAGCGCACACATCCGAATAGGGCTGCACGATATTGGAAAAAACTCACATTGCGATATTTTATTTTTCTGTGATATATATTGCGATATGAAAACAAAAATCACCACATGACTTGAATAGTTTATTTAGAAAAAAAACTAATCAATGATTGGGGTGAGTAAATCAGCATAGGAAATAAATTACAAGCATAGATAAATATAACAGAAAAAAAGATACAAATGAAATAAGCAGTACATTATATTTTTCAGGTAAGTCTAACAGTATTCAGGGTACAGAAATTGAATAATCAAATGTAAAATAACACTGCATAGTCTTCACTGTATAAATCTAATAAATCTGTGTTAAAGCTACAAAAGTGATTTTTCCTTGTGTTTTGTTGTTTGATTAACATTCATAACACAGAAAGCCTCAGGAACATTAAACTGCTGTAAACCAATATACTGTTACACATCCATTTTCTTTCTCAATTGTTTCCCTTCACCTTAGCCATAAGCAATATGTTTACAAGGATACTTGCAGAGCACAGTATTTCAGGCACAAATAGACGCAGAAGTGAGCAGAATTTAGTGTTCACGTGCATCTGCGTGGCTCTCACCATGTCTACACCGGACGCGAGCGGCGCGGTGCGACACAACAAAATACAATGAACCAGCACTGAAAATCGCGTGCAGTAGCTCTGCTACTAAATGTATTTAAAATGGGTATCTCTGTACAGCTGTCGCGTCCGGTGTACACACCGTGTCTGTGTGTGAGCAAAGAAAACGATCAGTATAAATATAACGATCAGTACCTATACTAACCCTTTGCAACGTCACTATGGGAGCGAAATCAGACGCGCTCGTTTTTTCAGACACTTGCAGAAAAAGGATTACCAAAACAAAGTTACTGGGTAAATCTTTTTCACATTTCCTTGGTTGGTAGATGCACCAGGTCTGAAACAATCGCGGTTAGATCAAATAATCGCGATTAGACGGTTATTTAATTATCGTGACAGGCCTAGTTAAAGCAAAAAAAAATCCTGAGCCTGAACTTTTTTTCCGGGGCTTGGGGGTTGCTGGGGCGGACACATACACGGGGTTATTTGGCAAACAAAAAAAGAAAATGATTTTCCTTGAAAATAATTAGTAACGTATCTGCCATTGCCATTAGCCCTTGACAGGCTCAGACTACAGATTATGGTGGGATATTTGAAACAGCAAGGTTACTCACTACAATATGGTGCAAACACATGTAACATTTAGGATGCTTTTGATATCAAGTTTTGCTGGTTAGCTTTGACCTTGACAGGGTACAAGATGTTTCTGAAATTGTTTTGTTAAAAAAAATAATGGTAAATTAAATACTAGGAAATGAATATAAAATAGGAAATATACTAAGACAGTTTACTACAGAAAACTACAGTTCAATTCAAACAACAACAACAAAAACATTAAAATGGTCCAAGAACTGGTAACTTAAACAGGGTTTGTACAGATACTGCAAAATAAAATTCCAGGACTTTCAAGGACTTGCACTACTTTTTTGGTTTTCAAGGACTAAAATAAGATCTCACTTATTAATCAATGTTGTTATTATCTTTCAAATTCTAATAAATAAACTAATAAAACAAAAATGGTACAAATAAAGTGCAGCACACGCAAAGAATGCAATGAATGTGGCAATTTTAACATTTGAAAGGATACTATGGCAAAGTTATCGCTTTCCTTATTCAAACTGATTTTTTTTTCATAAATATATGATTGACCTGAAGAATGAAAGCTATGTCATACACTTGGAAAATTATGAGCTTTTATCACGCTCATAGACACTAGGGGTGTGACAATACCCTTAGCTCACAAGGTGAGAAAAAATGCAGATACTTGGTTCACTAGAACGAGAGAAATTTTCAAATGACAAAATATTTGTCTATCACAAAAAGTAAAAATGCAGTTGTATTTTGAAATGTTTTAACTAATCTAGTGCTTAACTAATGATTATTTTGCTAATCAAGTAATCTGATTATTTTGATGAGTAATCTGATATTTTTTTAAGAGAACTAAGTGGAAAAACAGGCTTTAATATGACTATATTTCTATATAAAGTAACGATGAGGCAATAATAATTGGCCTCAAATAAAGTATCAAAACCAATTACATGGTTTTATTGAACAACACTCTTAAATGCATAATGTAATATGCCTATATTACAACAAATACCTGCAGAGCTGTTTCATGCTGTTTCATGTGATTCAAGACGTTTAAATCCATTTCATTTTAATATTTGGCCACATGCAAAGTTAGAAACTTTTATTTTAAATTCGCGATGTACAATAAATCGCATATTTAGAAATATGTTGATGTATTTTCTTGTGTTGGCATAGGTTTAAATGATTTACATTACAAGTCAAGTGAGTTTTCCCAGATGAACGTTAAGCAACCCAAACTCACCATATGCAGAGGAAGAGTTCAGCCCCTTTCACACATAGTCTTTACTGGTTAATTACCGGTAAGAGATCATGTGTGAACAGGACCTTTTCAAAAATACAGGTAAATTCGTTCTGGCAATCATATCGTTCTTATGGAGATGATGTGATAACTCTGAGCTGTTTACAAAGTCCTGCTGCTTTTTTAATAGCTTTTCTATGTAAATATGGAAATGGATGGAAATCTTTGACCATTGCGCCTCACAGCTTTTTCAATGTGTCGTGCTTGAGACCCAGGCTTCTTTTCCATTCATCAGCTAATGCGCGTCTAGTGTTTATAAGAGCAAAAACTTCTGATTGGCTAGTAATGTTAGTTTGGTTGAGAGTGAAAGCGGTGTTCCTCTCATACATTGGTAGGTGAACTCATGAACTCGAATAGGGCTGCACGATAAATCGCATGCGATATTGAACACGCATCTTGTCAGAAAGCCGGTTCTGTAATCAGCGGTAAATCTCCATCACGTGCGTGCTTTCACATAGAGCAACATTTACTACACAGAGCCGTTGTTCACTGACGAGCTGCGCAAAAAATCGCGCAAATATGAATGTGGTTTTGCGCAGCTCGTCAGTGAACAACGGCTCTGAGTAGTTAATGCTGCTCAATGTGAAAGCACGCACGTGATGGAGATTTACCGCTGATTACAGAAGCGGCTTTACTGATAAGATGCGCGTTAAATATCGCATGCGATTTATCGTGCAGCCCTAAACTCGAACGTGATATCAACAATAAATGTAGGGCAACTTTTTTTCCCCGCAGCCAAACGCCACACACCGGAGATTCGGCACGGTGCCGGAGAACTTTAAGCCCTGCATTATGATTGGTTGAGATAGAAGCATCCTGATTTGAGTAGGGTATAAATACTGCATTTATACAGGTATTTTCTCTTTGTCGCAATCTACAGCCAGCACAATGGCTGTATGAATGTAGACATTTTCTTGCAAGAAAATAATTCTTCAAAAGACTTTTGTCTCATACCTTTATTTGGAAAAAATTCCACTACAATGCACATAATCAAAATGTAATAAAACAATGCTTGTTGCTCTTCTCAAGCACATCTTTCCTTGTAATTCTTCAAGACAATATGTAATAAATGAAAGAGCTTTAGATTAGTTGCTATGTAACAAAAACAACAAAGCATAAGTATGCTTTCACTACGAGATACGCTTCAAATGTCTATTGTGAGTGAATAAAGCTTAATTGAATATTTTAGCAAATGATAGAAATAGTTTTGCTTGAATAGATTGGTGACTGGCTGTTAATTGCTTACGAGCAATCGATTATGATTGCTCTAAATATACAACACAAAAACCTATTAAAAAGCCACTGCTTCTTTCAACAGAAACCTAAATTTTTTTCCAACAATCAAACCACATGAAGTTTCAGTTGAGCACATATGTACATCATAACATGTATAAAAATAGTCACCAAAAGGGCATTTCCCACACAACTCCACTCTGTATATTTCTCTGTCTGTGTTATAGTCTCAGTACAGAACTAAGCAAAGAGAGCTCTTTAACTTCAAACTACCATAGAAGATCCACACAAACGACCTGAGGGCTAAAAGGGTGGTATATCTAGGTCAAAGCATGTCTTGTTTGGAAATTTGCAAGCCCACCATAAGCCGCATATGACCGAAACCACAAACACACTCATTGTGCGGCTCTCCAAGTCAAGATCCCCTTCATTTTTACACTTATATTCTTCCTGACTCTCAAAATCCGCTTAAAAACAAAACATCTACTTAACCTTCAGCATATGAAAGGTTTTAACGCAGGAGCGCTACATCTTATCCCCCTTGGTAAAGCAAAGCAGCGGAAGCCCGAGCCATTCTCTGACTGTTTATAACCGGCATCTAAGAGCAGCTGAAATCCACCAGATGTAGAAACTGACGGACAAGCATTGAGGTAATGCGTAAGCTGTGTGTTAGAAAGAAAGAAGAGGAGATGTTGATAGAGAAAGAGAAAAAGAGGGGCCCACGGGCAGGATGAGGTCAGGCCAAAGATCATATTTCAAGTCCTCAAAGCTACAACACTGCAACAATGATTCTGATATACCTGTTGGGCTTAGGAAACTGGATAGCCGTGAAGTTGATGGGAAGAGCGGTGGCAATAAGCGATTGTAGCGGGAGTAAACCTACACTGGGATAAACTTACTATGCTTTTGACTGACATCTCGACCATCTAGGATATTATTTATGGAAAGGAATGTCAATAAATCAACCAATAAGAGGATCTTCTGCTCTCAAAAAATGAAAGGAGATCAGATGTGGCCATTTTAAGGTTTTCAAGCCAGTCCTCCATTTTGTTTCTGTGAAATCATTGCTATGACTTTGCCCCAACTCAAAAACATTCATCCAGGGTCTGTCTGAGTGACTTGTGACAAACGGAACAGTCAAACTAGACTAGGGGAAAAGAAAAAATCACTTGAGCCAGAGGTGGGACCGGAGCCGAGGCATTTGGTTTTGATGACTGTTTTAAGAGTTCCCATCACCTCGTCAGTTAAACCGACGGAGGTCTGAGAGGGAGCTCTTTATCTGCCTCCACCCGGCTGCCTGAACGCACACCACCACCTCAATTCTCCATTCTCTCCAAAGGCTTTTTTACATGTGTATGAAGTGCAGAATTAGGTAATCGAACTGGTCGCATATAAGCAGGCTGAAACAAGTCCTGGTCTGAGGCTCATCAGAGGGAGTCTTGATGTTGGCCGTGGGAGTAATTAGCAGAGATTACAGGAAATCATTCCCAGAGGGGAGGGCTTCTGCCCAAAACCCAGATGAGCCCTGGCCTACATCTCTCTGCTCTCAAAACAGCCACAAATGATTGTGAGAGGCGGGAGAAAAACCACAGAAATATTATAGTCATAATTATCATTACTGATTTACATTAAGGCTGCTATGATTCAATCATATCACGTTTCCATAACACTTTACAACTGAGGTCCAATTTGTTAACATTAGTTAATGCATTTTCATGCATTTGATGATACAATACTTTCATTTGATGAAATTGATGATACAATACTTTCACTGCATGTATTAATATTTTTACATGTACTAACACATTTCTGACATTAAATTGTGTAAATTAACATTAGTTCATGTATTATGAATGAACACGAACTGCTCATAAAATAACAAATGCTTGTAAAAATGGTTAATTCTTAGTTCATGACAACGCATTAACTAACATTAATGAATTTAACTTTATTCTAAAGTGCTACCAACACAATATTTATTTGTATGGGCATTCATATTGTTTTGTTTCATGACATATACAACCATTTAAAAGTTTATGGTCAGGAAGAATTTATGTTTTTGTAAGAAGTCTTATTTGTTCACCACGGCAGTATTTATTTGAAAAAAATAATACAGTAAAAACAACAACAACAACAACATTGTAAAATATTTTTACAATTTAAAATAACCTTTCTATTTGAATATATTTTATGTAATTTATTCTTGGTGGCAAGAATCATTACTCCAGTTTTCAGTGTCACATGATCCTTCAGAAATCATTCTAATATGCGGATTTGCTGCTCAAGAATTATCAATGTGGAAAACTGTTGCTGCTTAATATTTTTGAGGAAGCCGTGAAGTTCAAAAGAACAGCATTTATTTGAAACAGAAATTTTTCGTAATATTATAAAAGTCTTTACTGCTACTTTTGATCAATTCAATGCCCCTTTTCAGAATAAAAGTATTAATTTGTTTCTTTTTTAAAAAACCTTACTGAGCCTAAACTTTTCAACAGTAATGTACATACAGTGATGTACTTAAAGATACTGTGCATCATTAAGTAGTTCGTTTTATTTACATGTTTGTGAGACACAAAACACAAGATGAAAACAGGGTGCACCACATTTATGTATTTCTCATTTGGTTGAGTTTATGCAGCTTTTGGAGGTGTAAAGAATTTATGGAGTGAGGAACACCCTTTGGGAGAAGATCTCGGAGCACTGCTCACGGCAACACCAGTTATGACTGAAACCCGCTAAAGTAAAAGGACACACCACCTCTCAAATAACACACACAGGGAGTTTTGCAGAGGAATGAGGTTAAGGGAATGTCCCAGTGGAGAACTGTATGCAAAGCTCAAGCCTCTAGTCAGTATCTGCTCGACAACTCCAGCACACATTGGCCATGCTAATGCCTGATAACAAAGCCACGGGAGGAAGGGTCTGAGCAAACAGCAGTCTTCGCTGTAGCAGTCTGTTTTGGTATTAAAATCATCTGGAAAGCTTCCCACACACAGAGCAGATAGGGAGGTGAAAAGAGTCGGGACAAATGAAAGGAACGGAGGGATAATACTTGGACAACACTATGTAGAAATCCAGGATGGATGAAACGGCACAAGCAGAGAGAGTGAAAAAAAAAAGTGTAGAAAAGCTGCTTTGGCACAAACACTTCCTACAAAGCCGTCCCTATCCAGCGGGATGCAAGGGTACAGGAACAGACCTACCGGCCAAGTTTGGGGGCCCAGGGAGTGTCGATTTAACAGCATGCA